AGCCAAGACATGCCCCCCACCCCCACCCCCGCTGTCCCGCCCCGACTCCGTCCTGAACTCCTCCCAGGGTCCAAAGAGATGGAGTCCTGGGAGGACCCGGTTTCCTCAGCAGGGGCCTGGCACCCCCTGGAGGAGGCGGCCTTCTCTCCATTCGCACAGAGAGCAGAGTCTCTAGAATGAACTCTGGGCCTCCTCACCATCCACAACCTTTAAAATCTAAGGGCCCCAGCGTGGGGACAGGCCAGTCAGGTGTGGGCCTCCTTATTCGGTAGGGACCCTTATGGAAGTGAAGACTCCTTCAGCACCCTCTCGGGCCTAGCTGGGGGATTCCCTGTCCCCTGAAACCCTTGGGGTATTGGGTTACCCGACCTTAACTCTCCCCTGGTAGCCTGGTCAGTAGCCTGCTCCACCTCCACAGGGTGAACAGCCTGCAGCCACCTCCTGGGCCAGGGGCCCAGCCAGGGGCTTTACATACCTGACCTCATCTACCCCACCAGCACTCCTGCAAGGAGCCCCAGGGCCTCCTCTTACAGGCTGGGCTTCTTTGTGGCTTTCCTCACCACTGTGACAGAATAATTGAGCATGAAGTCATTTAATGTCTATGCTGTGCTGGAATGCAACATCCATGTCCACGGGTCACTGCTCCACTCCTCCTGTGGTACATTCCCAACGACGAATTAATCCATTGTGGAGGGCGTGTCCTCTCAGACAGAAGGTGAGCTTCCAGATGTCAGAGACAGTGTCCTCCTCACTTCCCATTGTGACCCCTGCCTCTAGCTAAGTGTCTATGAGTGCCGCTGGAGGTCCCCACTGATGGATGCAGAAGGAAAACATCCACTGAATGGGCGAGTGAATGGACATCACCATTCCTGTGTACAGATGGGGAAACTGAGGCTCAGATTGGGCGACTTGCCCAAGTCCCCAGAGCTAAGTGGCAGAGCAGGGCGTGAACAAGTCTGTTTAACAGACACTCATTTGCTCCAACACGGTGACCTCTTGGCAAGGGTAACCTGGTGGCATCTGGGTTCTGGCTGTGTCTGTACCTTTACTGTGACCCACGGGGATGTGCCTCCCCCTGATGTGGTGCCTTTTCTGGCTGGCCCCTCCCTCCAATCCTGATCTCCCTCTTCCCAAAGCAGAGCACTGGGAGATCCCAGCCAGAGCAGCCTCTGCTGGAATGTCGGGGAGTGGGGACAGCATAGCCCACCTCTGACCCTGGCATTGCTGGCAGCAGGAGGCGCAGGTCTGGGGGGAGTTGCAGACAAGCAGGAGGGCTCTCAAGCCACAGGTCTGACATCCCAGCAATGGGCCCCAGCCCCAACTGACCTCTCCATCTGTCACCACATGTCAGACAGGAGACGTATCTCGGGACCCCAGGGAGGTCTTCAGGGGCGCCTGGGCCTCTGGCCTGCCTCAACCCATGGCCAGTGGGGCTCAGCACCAAAGCATCCAACAGACTCCCGGCAGGCCCAGGAGTTGAGTGCTGTGCTGTGCAACCATTCTCCTCAGGGCCAGGGGAGAATGAGGCCACAGAGAGTGATGGCCGCCTGTCTGTCACCCCTCCCTGCCCAGGCTGAACTCTCCCCCCACCCATTAGTCTCTTCCCCTTCCATAGATCCAGGCCCGAGCTGTCACACCGCAGCATTGATTTATTTCTCTTGTGGCCTTGCTCTCGGTGGGGCTAGAGAACAGCATGTCATCACCCTCTCTAAATATTACAGCTCCGCAGAGACTTGACGAATGTGACTCATCGCCCTTCTCCAGCTCGAGACTCCCCAGGCCTTTCTTTGTTGATAGGAATGTGATAATCATCGTAATAATAACAGTAACAACAATCATAGCTGCTTCCAATTACTGAACACTTGTTCTGTGCCAGATATTATGCTAAGCGCTCTCCTCATATTATTTCATTTACTCTTTACGACCCTACTAAGTAGGTACTCTTCCTATCCTATTATGTAGGTAAAGAAACTGAGGTTCAGCATGGCTCAGTGTCTGTAACTTGCCCTGGTCACATAGCCATGGAACAGCAGAGCTAGGGTGACACAAAGGGCTGCCTAACCCAGGGCCCCTGGCCTAACCACTATACCATGAGCCCAGCCCCAAAGTGTGTTTCTACACTATGATGTCACCTACTATTCAACCCCCAACCCAGGCCAAAGTTTCAACCCAAAAACAGAGACTGGAGCACACAATGTGTTTCCATCACGAGATGCACCGGGTGCTGCTAACACAACAGAGAAAGGGGCCCCAGCAGGATATTTGCATAGCATTACTGGCGGCTGGTGTCTGATGTGTACCAGCCACCTCTAGCCCAGCAATTTCAGAGTCAGAATTATGTCTGTCCCCATGAAAATGATGGCATCTTGGTTTTCTCTCCTTTCATCTCTTTTCTGATTGCCGTCATTGATCCTGAGCATGTCTTAGAACAGAAATAGCCCCATTGTGGCTGGGGTCTCATTCTTACCATTCAATGCTCAGGCCCCGCTGTGATGATGGCCCTGTTCTTTTATCAGCCCCAAGTCACAGCCTCCTCAGGCATGGAGGGGCAAGGGGATGTTACCCTGAGGGTGGGCTCCTCCTTGTGGTGGTGGAAGAGGCCTGAGTCGCCCCTCTGACCAAACCCCATTGCTGGGGGGCTGTGGGCCCAAGAGCCAGCAACTGTGGAATGGGAAGTGAGGCGACGCCCGCCGTGCAGGAGGACAGAGGGTGAGGGGGCAACGTACCACAGAGATGCAGAGGTGGCCAGACACACCGGTGCGCAGCCAAGCCAGGCTGGGAACCTGTGCCTTGAATGCCCACTGCTTCTGAGTGGTGAATTTTCTAGACTTCCTTTGTGTTCCACTTTATATTTGAGTGAAATCTGCAGAAAGCTCTGTGTGCTGAGAGCAATCAAGGAAAGCACCTTTGCTCCAGGCTCCGCCAGGAACAATGCCAGGACCAGTGAGGTGGTGAGATCGGAGCAAGAGAGAAAATTCCAGAAGGGGAGAGCTCAGGGGTTCGTATATGTTGGGACCACTTAGCGGGTCATTCCTCACCTGAATCTTGGGCCTCTGGGATTTGTTTTAACAGGGAGGCTATTTCTTTACGTGTCATAAGGTAGAGTCCCCCAGATTTTAGGGGTTGCCATCAGACAGGAAAGGCCCCTGGTGCGTCCTCAGTCACACACACACACATATGCTCACACACGTATGTGCACACACTCACACACACACACACACACACACACACACACACACACACTGGAAGCCAAACCTCTCTTCTCCCTCTCCTCTGAGTCTCCTCTTGGCCTGGGGGCTACCCAAGACTTCCCACAGAACCCTCATATGAACTCCTTTCTCCTGGGCATATAAAAAACATTTGTCCAGTCCTCAGGCTGGATAAAGACTCTGATATCCAAAAGCTTTCTGGGGGCAATTCTCCCACTTGACCAACTATGGGATCGTAGACATGTTAATCTCCATGCCTCAGTTTCCCTACCTGGAAAATGGGGATAATAACAGTATCAACCTCTTCTATTTATTGCAGGGACTAAGTGAATATATGAAAGCACTTAGAACAGTGTGTGGGTTAAAGAAAGTTCTATTCAAGTATTAACGATTGTTGTTAGTCATTATTCCACGATGTGAAGACAGAGGTGGGTGTGAGGAGGAGAAGTGGGAAACCAGGATGTCAGTGCCACCTGCCAAGGCCCGGGCCCCACTTTCCTCTCTGAGCTCAGCTCAGCTGAGCCTGCACTCCCTCAGGACACCTCCTAGGCGTGGAGATCCAGCCATCGCAGCCTTCTTCCTGAGACTGAGGCTGCTGCTGTCTACACTGTCCCTGCCTGACAGTGAAGTGTGGATGGGCTTCGGGGGGGGGGGCTGGGATACCCCAAAAACTGAGGACAAAAGTGTTGTGCAGGTACGTTTTTGTTCCAAAGGCCAGGAGTCCGTTTTGGGAGATGGAGAGAGGACACGGCAGAACCGATAGTCTTGGATTCCAGGGCACACTTGGGAACCGCATAAAACACAGGGTGTCTTCCCCACCCCTGCAGCCAGCAGCCTCACCTTGAACAGCTGTATGTTTGTGTGTGTGCGCACGTGTGCATGTGTGCCTGCACATACATGCACAATAATTTACATTATTCCATTTAATCCCCTTCCTGAAAATTCAGCGCAGGCCTCCAAAGGATTCTCTCTGCATCAACCTTGGAGAACTCGTGGGTCCTAGGGAAACGCGCCCAGGGAGAAGGTACCTCCCTTGAAGGCAAACAGCAGCTCCCTTCCTGGGGATGTGGGAGGACTGTCAGGCACCCCAGGAAGCCACGCCACTGTGTCACTTCACGTCCCTGTGGAACTCAAAGGCGGATTTTGCACTCTATTAATCTACATCCGTTTGCACATCCCTGCTGTCAGCGTCTCATCTAGGCAAGGAGCAAACACGCAGTAAAAAGAATGTGGGCTTTGGGGCGGCTGACCCGGGTGCACCCCAGCTTTGCCACTCGTTGGGTGACCTTGGGCAAGAATCTTAGCCATTTGGAGCTCTATCTCTAAACAAGGGATGCTGATAAGGGTCCCCACCTTGCAGGTTGCCAGGAGGATCAGCAATGAGGTGGGTAATGCATGGTGCAGTGCCTGGCACACATTGGCTAGAAGGCATGGAAGCTGCTCGATGGTGATGAAGATTGCGATGATGATGGTGACATTTGGGTTCTAAGCCTAAGCTTTCTGTCTCCCTTATTAGGCTAGGAGTTTCCCCAAGAGCTGGCGGTGTTGCTTTCTCTTTTCTCCTCCTCCCTTCTAGATCCTCTCCCTGCAGCCGCTCCGACTCCCCCTGCATCCTGTGATAATTCACTTAACAGACCTAGAGGGGTGGGGCTGGAGCGCCCCAGACAACACACATTCCGAAGCCACCAGACGACTGTTGGGCTGTGCCCCCTTGAAGGGGAGGGAGTGGAAATGTCGTCTCCTTTGGGGTTCAGTCCTCCCACTGCCCTTGCCCCCCAGCCTCAGCCCTACCTCACGTTGTCATGTTTCTGGATGTAAATCTTGTGGAACATCATATCCTCCTGTTTGGCATTGATGTCTGCTTTCATCTCCATGGCAACATGACGGGGAAGGACAGACAGCAGAAGCCGCTCCTGGGGAGGGAAGCAGACGCTTTTGTCACAGCTCCTTCCACCTGCCTGGCAGTCCCCTCTCCTCCCCAGGTTGACTCCTCCACCTGTGCCCCCACCTGCAGGGCCCTGGAAAACCTCTCAGGCTCTCCTGAAACTCGTGGGGCTAACACCTGTGTGTGTTGGGGGGGAGGAGTAGGCGGGGTGGAGTCATGTCCCTAGGGCTCCCTGACCCTATCTCCCTGGGGCACCTCCGGGATCCTCAGTGTACATGGGGAAAAGCACTCCCGGGGAAGCTGTAGCACTGAGCACCTGGGTTACAATCCTGGATGTCACCTGAGACTCTGTGTGACCTTGGGCAAATTACCAAACTTCTCTGGGCCTTAGGTTCCTCATCTGTAAATGGGGATGGGGTGTTGAGAGCAGTAAATGAGGTTCATTCAATCAGTGATCAAATTGTTGTTGAGCACCTACTGTTCCAGGCATCATGCTGGGTGCCAGGAGTTATAACTGTGAACAAGACAGATGGAGTTCCTCCTTCGCAAACCCCCAAACTCACAGGGGCACGGGGTACTACAGGGCATTGAGCAGGGGCATGTGACCTAGGCTGGGGAGCTGTGTGGTGGTAGAGAAGGCTTCATGGGGACCAGAGGATGAGGTGAGAAGGGGGCTCCACTTCCATAGTGGGGACAGTGGCCCGGGAGGGAGGGAAAGCACACCGGCTTTGAGAAACTGAAAAGTTAAAACGTGTCAAAGAGGAGGAGGGAGAGAAGCAGGGAGTGGGGAGGGGGAGGGTCCTGTCAGCCAGGATGGGGTCCAGACTTCGCCCCCTTTCCGCGGTCTCCCCCGGGGCCTGCCTGCTCCAAGAGGTCCAGCTGCCTCCGGGGTGGGCGGCCTCCACGGGCAGCCTCTCCCCGTGCCCTCCGCAGTCCACGACCCACGCTGGGCTCTCTGCCGGGCTCGCTCACAGAATTCTCTCACCTGGAGCCATTCATGCTGGCTGCTGCCAGCCCCCCTCATTCTCCTGTCCCTCACTCGACACTGGGTGCCGGCCCACCCTCTCGTGTGGCCCTGAGACTCTCCTCCCTCTCCACCTTTTCTGGTGCCTCTCCATCCTCCCGGCCCCACACAGAGCACATCCCCACCTCTGTCCTCCTTCTGCTCACTCTTGTCCTCTGGGAGCAAGGTTTCCACCAGCGCCTCTCCGGTCACCTCCCGCTCCTTATCTCTTGTCCAGGGCTCCCGAGTCTCCAGCTGTCCGCCAGGAGGTCTCGCCACCACACCCCAAACCATACTCACCTTCCTGGGTTCCCTCCCCAGGGGCTCTCCTTGGCAAGTTCCCCGCCTTTGTCCATGACGCCTCCATTCTCCTGATCACCAAGCTCAAGACCCCATCCACGTAAACTGCTCTTCCTTTCCAGAACTTTCCCTCTGCCCTCAGCCCCAGGCCCTGTCCAGCACTGATCAAGCCCTGCTGATTTGGACGCCGCTCTCGGACTTGTCCTTTCTGTTCCACATCTACCTCCACCGCCCACACGGGGTTCTCATCCAACTGCAGGACTCCTGCCGCACCGTCCTAGCCAGACAGCCTCTCCTCAGCCCTCCTTGCTGCCTGGGCCCCAGCCTCCCCAGTGCCTGTCGCTCTCCTGCTCAAAACTGCCACTGCTTCCCCAGGGTCCACCAGCCACATCCAACATGGATTCCTTTGGACCCACTGAGCCCACTCCTCCTTATTTTCCACTGCAACCCAGCGCCCTCACTCCACCCGCCCCCTTCCTGTGCCGGGCCTGCCCCCTCAGGGCCGGTCTGGATGACCGGGGCAGTCTCCACATCGATTTCTCTGTCTGCAAGCTTGCCGCCTCTGATCCATCCTCCACACTGCAAGTGTGATCTGTCCAAGACACACACCTGCCCACATCACTGCCCTGCATAAAAACCTTCTCTGCTTCCTGAAGCTTCCAGGATCAGCCCATGCTCCCAGCCTGGCCTCGAAGTTTCCACAATCCGGCTCCTCCCTACCCCTCCATGCTCCCTTCCCAGCACCCCCTGAATTGAAATCTGCACTCTGCTCCAAGTAGTGTGAACCCAGAGACGTTTCCCAGGCTTCTGGTAGGTCTTTCTTGCCTTTGCCCCTAAGCTCCTCAGCTACAATCAACATCCTCACATACTGCTCCCAACCTCCTTCAGGCCAAGCCCTTCCTAGGAGGAGGGTCCCAGCTCTGGCTGCCAGCATCTCCTCCCGACCTGAGCCTTCTTTTAGAGCCCCTGATCACGCTGTATTTCAGTGGTCTGTTAACCTGTCTCCCTTTAGTGCGTGAAATGAGACGCCTCCCTGAGGATGGGAGCTCCGTCTTGTTCACCTCCATAGCTGACAGTCTCATGCTCGGGAAACACGGGTAAACTAGTGAGGGATGGTCTCCCCAGGCATCAGTGAACATGGCCATCAAAGGCCATCTTATCTTTACTGAACTCTCAGGAAACAGTCATGGTGTTGGAAACACCAACTACAGGACAGCTCTGTGAAAATACAGGACGATTAGGAGAAAGTGTGCTACAAACTGCCTAGATTCATGAGGGACCTTCCCACAGTTAGAACTACTTCTGGGGCTGAGGGCCAGGAGGAGTGGGCAGGGGGTGGCCAGGGAACAATGCTGAGTCCCCTCCTCGGGTGGCACCTAGGAGTGTCCCCCAGGGATCCCCAGAGCAGCCCGTTCCGCAGAGGGCAGGGGACGCAGAGAGCCGCTGGGCTCTGGCTTGGTGAGGAGAGCCTGTCCCCAGGAAGTGTGCATCTTGGCCCAGAACATGGTATGACAAACATATTTTCTTCCCCAAATCCCTACGGATTTGCTGGAATGTCCAGCCTGGCCAGGGCCAGAGCAAGTGAGCTGTGCTGAGCTGTAAAATGCTAATTTTACTGGAGAAGCGAGGTGAGAGGGGACACTCTCTAATGTGGAAGGGGAAGGAGAACATTGAAATCTCAGGGGAGAGATGCTGGAGCCCGAGACTGGGATGAGAGAGGGGGCTTCTGAGGCAGGTAGGGGCTGAGGGGTGAGCGGGGTGCAGAGATGAGGTAAGTCTGTCAAGAAAAGACAGTGGGAGGACTTGGGGATACTGGTGGGCACGGGTTTCATTCAAGAGGCTGGACCAGGAGCCCAGACAGGGCCAAAAGAGCGTGTGGGGCGAGCCAGGCCTCCGACTAGACAGCATGAGCTGGGGAGCTGGCAAGACACGGTGGCCCTAGCAGCAGGGCTGGAGGGAAATGGGGACAGGCAGCAACTGGGGAAGGCCCTGAGAGACACTGCAGAGCTGTACCCTCTTTCTCAGCCCTCTGTCACCCGCCCGTGTCCTGTAACCCCCCTAGGATGCATGCAGACGGGGTGGTGAGACCTCTGTGCACTCAGGCGGCCACAGCACATACACCGTGCTGGCCAGGAGGGTACAGCTGACCACTGCTGTCCCAGCCTTTGTCTCCCCTGTCCATGCTGAAAGGCAGACCTTCCATGTCCACACTTGCTGTTGGGCCTGACACAGCATGTGGCACAGGGCAGGACTCCACTAATGTCTGCTGAGGGTTTGGGGAGACGCACAGACAGGGGAGGGAGGACCCGGTTCAGGGTAACCTTCTTTCTAAGAGCCAGGGCAAGGATGAGTCCAGTGGGAGCCCCCTAATCCTGCTGACCTGCCCACTCCCTCCCCTGGGCCTGCATGGTCCCTCGGGGCCTCCCGTCTGGGAGCTATGCAGCACCACTCTGTCTCAGAGTTCCCAGACCTCTATCTGGTTCACACGCGGGAGAGCACACAGTGGTCCTAAACCCCAAACAGGACTCCCTCCAGGATGCCAGGCAGACAGGAAGGGAACCCTGACACAGCCCCTCAGTCCCTGTTCTGCCTTTAGCCCATAGAAGCACAGGGGCAGGTCCCTCTGCCCCAGGGGTCACTGGGAGAAGCCCCCGGAGTCTGTGGCCCGTGTGAATGGCCTGCCTCCAGGCTCAGGAGCCCTCTGAGGGTGAGGTTTAGGGGGAGACAGGACCACCTTCCTTTCTCTGAACCAACCAAATCCCAGAACTGGGTACAGAGGAAGTGCCTAGTGTGACATTGTGGGTGTCACAGGGGCTGACAGCTAGGGCCTTCTCCCGCCTTAATCCCAGGTGGGAATGCTGACACTACCCCCACTCCAACTCATCAGCCCCTGGGGAGGGGTGGCAAGGCGCCTTCTTGGCACCCAGGGCCTGGGCTGCTGGGCTCGCTTGCAAGACCACAGGGGGACATTGAGGAGGCATGGGCGAGCGCAGGGCAGAGCTCTTTCTCCAGAGTCTCTCCCAGAGCATCCCCACAGAGCCAGGAATGCTGGGCTCCCTCCAGGGGAAACATTCCTCGTTGGGCTGGACCCCCCCCAGGGGGGCGGGGCTGGGCAGCTGTACTGAGCACAGCTGGTGGGGAGGCGGGCAGCTGGGCTGCGCAGGTCTTGGGTCTCTGCTCCCTGCAGCTGCGCGGGCCAGGACGGCCTCACTCACCTGCTGCTGGTTCTCCCGCTGTGAGTGGAGCCGCGCCTGGATGCACTCCCGGGTCTCCTGGAAGGCCTGTCTCTGGGAGACCTCGGCCGGGTAGTGGGTGCAGACACCCACGATGTTGGTGCAGGAGAAAATGAGGACATTGGAGACAAGCTGCAGGGGAGAGACGAGGACACCGAGCTCAGGCCTGGAACAGGCACCAGTCACTGGAGCCCCAACCCTCACCCTTCCGGCCCCAAAGCTTGGAGCCCTGGCCCCCATCTTAGCAAACACACACCTAGCTGCCAGCACACAAATGCCAGGGACACCCACATGCGGCTGGCGCTGGGAGCAGCCATGCGTAATTGGTCGGGCTCTCTGATGTCCTCAAAGCCCAAAGCTTGGCTGGCCTGTGACGAGCTATGGCCGTAGGGACACCGAGTCACCAAATAGTCATACTGAACGTGTCCACAGTACCCAAGATTAAAAGGTTAGGTGCATTGGCGATGCTGGGATGGAGCAGTATGTATGTTGGGGATGGCAGGGACACTGCAAGGAGGGTTCTATGAGGGTGGGAAGATTTTATTTTTTGAAAGTGTGATCGAGTCCAGCATAGGACAAAGGGCTGCCCCTTCGCAGAGAAGCCTTCGCTTATTATTCCCCAGGGATCAGATCCAATGAGGCAAGTACTTGCCGGCTACCCATGAGACACGCAGCACTGTGCTAGATCCTCTGGGAATGAGAGAAGGATAAGGTCCCCGGCCAGTGGAGATCAGCGTCCACAGCGGGTCTCATCGCCCCTTCCTGGGCTTCCCTTCCTTCTCTGCACCAGCACCCAGGCCCCCCGACAACTCCACCACACTGGCTGGCGAGCGTCTGCCATAGCCCCTGCTCCTCACTGATGCCCTTCTCTGTGCCGACTGAGACATGTGTGTGGAAAAATACCACCGCCCCTCCGGTCGCAGAGACAAGGCTGCAATTCTTTTGAAAGGAATATTTACTGAAAAGCTAAGGGAAAACACAACACAACAGAACACAACCCACAAAAGCAAGTTTACACAGCACATTTCAGATCCTGGCAATGGTGCTGTTTCATCAAAACTTCTTTTGGCAGTACAGCCCCAAGGGCATCCGGGTAAACTGCTTCTGGTCCTGCCCATGCCTCTGGGCACACAGGATTGAAGACACACAAAGATGCTCAGGCTCCTAGGCCTCACTCACTCCCCCCAAAATCTTAATTCTTAGTCCCAGCTGCAGAAGCGAAGTCCCGGTTGGCCCCTGCACCTTCTGCTGTGGCTCCTCCAGCCATCAGGAGCCCTGCCTTTGTCCTTAGTCCACCTGTCCATTGGGATCCCAAAGAACCTTCCTCTGGGACTTCAGGTGCCTGGCAGTGATCCACAGGCAGCGCCTACAATCTTCTTCCAGGGGCCTCTTTGTTTCTGGAAGCTACAAGTCCTGTCCTTGACTCAGGTCTGTGTTCTACCTGAAGGCTTTCCCTACCCCAGCTTTGAGGTGGCCCCAACCTCCACCCAGGGGCCTCAGCCAGCCCAGGCCCAGAGGCCATGTGAGCTCCATGCTGGATGTGGCGCCATCTTTCCCTGGAGACATCCTATTCCGTGTCTGCCCCCGTGCATGAATGGAAAGAGACTTTCTCCTTCCCATCTCAAAGTCTTACTCTCTCCTCAGCTGCACAATAAATGCTGCTTTTCTGGCGGAGGCACACTGAGCTCCCCTCAGCACCTCCTGGATACCCCCCAGATGCCTCCTGGATGCGCCTTCAGGGGAGGGGCAAACTTAGATTACCCCTCCACCACCTCTGCTGCCACTCACAACTCCCATAACCCCACCCCAACCCCATCCACCCCAGAATCCTACCATTGTCATTCTATGCAAACACACGGCAGAGAAAAGCCCAACCTATTTATCACAAGGAAAGAAGACCTCTGCTCTACAGAAGCAGCTGAGGAAATAAGTGGTCAAGGCTGACAGAGAACCGGCAACAGGAAGCAGATATTGACATGTATCCGGCAACAGGGAGAGGAGGGGAGCATGGGGCGACAAGAGGAGACCTCAGGGCAGGCCAGGGCATGCTGGGCCTGGGGTCAGGGGCATGTCTGGTACGGCTGGCAGGCATGGAAGAGGGTGTCCCTGGAGAGAGTATCAGGCTTGCAAGGTACTCCAGGTCCTTGAATCAATAACCCAGACTCTCTGATCCTGAGGGAAAGTCCACAGAGAGAAGATGGAGCTGGGAAGGCAGACTGGAGCCAGACTGAAGAGGCATCTGAATGTCAAGCTGAGGAGGCCTGGTACAATCCTTAGACAGAGGGAGCCATGAAGGAGTGCTGAACCAAGAACAGGATAACCACACAGCTTCTGGAAGATTCATCAAGGGCCAGAGTAGCGCAGGGAAGGGGAGACGGGTCAGGAGCCTGCCGCAGAAGCCCAAAGTATGAGGGCACAAAGACCTCCGTGAGGCTGGGGGCCAGGCAAGGCGGAGCTGACTCAGGAGGAAGAGCCCCTAAGGCCAGGGAGGAAAAGGAAGAAACAGCTCATAACTCACAGTGTTAACCAGTGCAGTGACTGCGAAGGGAGACCCTGAGGACACGACTCCGGGAAGTCCCTGGGGCCCACCAAGAGAAACACCTAAATCTAAGAGCTAAAGCTAGAAAACTCCTAGAAGGAAACACAGGAGTAAATCTTCATGACCTTGGGTCAGGCGATGATTTCTTAGATATGACACCAAAAGCACAGATGACAAAAGAAAAAAATAGAAAAATTGCATGTCATCAAATTTTAAAACTTTTGTGCCTCAAAAGGCACCACTAAGAAAGTGAAAAGACAAGCCACAGAATGCGTGAAAATATCTGCAAATCATGTATCACACTCTTATTTTGGACAAACATATGAAAGCAACTAAACGGCGAAAGGATAATCTTTTCAAAAAATGGTACCAGGACAATCAGCTATCATGATTAACTCAAACCTCCCAAAATAAACAAAAATTTACTCAAAATGGTTCATAGGCCTAAATGCAAAACTTAAAACTATTAAACTTCCAGAAGAAAACATAGGAATTTGAGTTAGGCAAAGATTTCTTCTGTCAACAACAGCAAAATCATGATCCATAAAAGAAAAGAAATGAGAAACTGATAAATTAGACTTCATCAAAATTAATAACATTTGCCTTCAAAAGACACTTTTAAGATAATAAAAAGACAAGCCACAGAACGGGAGGAATTATTTGTAAATCACATATTTGATAAAAGACTTGTACTCAGAATTCATAAAGAACTCTCAAAAGTCAACAATAAGTGAGGCTGGCCTGGTGATGTAGTCATTAAATTAGCACACTCCACTTCAGCAGCCTAGGGTTCATGGGCACGGATCCGGGGCACAAACCTATGCACTGCCAGTCGCCAGTCAAGCCATGCTGTGGTGGCATCCTACATACAAAAAATTGAGGAAGACTGGCACAGATGTTAGCTCAGGGCCAATCTTCCTCACCAAAAAAAAGAAGAAGAAGAAGAAGAAGGCAATAATATGAAAACAAACAACTCACTTTTTAAAAGAGCAAAAGATTTGAATAGATAATTCACCAAAGGAGATATAAGGATAACAAATAAGCACATAGACAGATGCTCAAAATCATTAGCCATTAGAGAAATGCAAATTTTAAAAAACAATGAGATACTACTGAACACAATTAGAATGGCTAAAACTAAATTAAAACAAAAGAAATGAAAAAAGAACTGCCAATACTGGCACTGGTAAGAATGCAGAGCACCTGGAACTCTCCTACCTTGCTAGTAGGAATGCAAAATGGTACAGCTACTTTGGAAAACAGTTTGGCAAGTTCCCATAAGGTTAAACATACACTTGCCGTGGGACCAGCAACCTCACTCCTTGGTATTTGCCTAAATGAAAGGAAGTTATGTTCACATAAAAATCTGTGCAGGAATGTTAATAGAACATTGGTCATCTATAAGACGGAACAATCTACTAATAACACAACAACATGGATGAGTCTCAAATACATTATGTTGAGTGAAAGAATCCACACTCAAAAGGCTACGTACTATATGATTCCGTTTATATGCCATTCTGGAAGAGGCAAAACCTTCAGGACTGAAAACACATCAGTGATTGCCGGGAGGGAGAGGTTGACAAAAAGCAGCAAGCAGGAGGAAATCTTTCAGGGCGATAGACCTGTTCCGTATCTTGATTGTCTTGGGGGTTACACATCTATGTGCCTTGTCAAACCCACAGAAAGGGGTTTCTACACCAGAAAGGGCGAATTCTACTGTATGTAAATGATACTTTAATAAAAAAGAACAAGAGTAAGATCCAGGAGGGACTGGGAGAGAGAATATGAGGAGCCAGCTGGGCAGAGAAAGGGCATCCTTTTCTCTCTCTGAGGCCAGAAAGAGGGGCCAGAGTTTATTTTGAGACATGACCCCGAGTAATTATCAACTGGCCGCTGCAGCATCTCGGTCCTAATCCTTCTGGCCGCTCCCGCTGTAACCTGACTCCTCCTGCAGCCAGAAGGCCAATAGCAACAGACGGTGCAAATTCAGGTAAAACGATGCCCTGTAACCCAATAGGGGTCCAAATGGCTTTGCTAAGCTTAGTATGCCTCAGTTCCTCTCTCTCATTCACTAAACACAAAAACGGGGTGAGCGGGAAGAGAGTGCTGGGGTGTGAGAGAGGAGACTTGAGCAAGGCCGTTGGAAATGGTGATTTCAGCAAATTGGAGCTGAGAGTGAAAAACTAAGAGATTAATACATCAGACACACAGACACAGCCACCACCCGCCAAAAAAGCAATAATCTGTGTGCCAAGTCTGAACAGATGCTAAGGCCCCTGTGCAGATCCTAATGTTAGGAATGGGGAGAAGGCATCAGTAAAAGCTGATGGAATTCTGCTTACGGCCTTCTAGGAAGGAGTTGGTTGCTTAAAAACGACCTCACACCTTGGGCACAAGGGTCCAAATGCTGACCAGCTCTTTTCTCTACTAAAAACAATGATCAATTCTTGATCCAGCCCCTTCATAGGCCCCTAGAAAGGCAGACACAGTAATACAAAGTATAAACCCTTTTCTTACGTAAAAACTTAATTCGTAAACAACAACAGGTATCATTCACAACAGCAGGTAAACAAGGCCTAATGAAGGGTTT